CCCGCTACCTGAAGACCCCCACAACCAATTGGCCACTGTTGTGGGAAAGAAGCCCTTTTCCACATCAACATGGGGACAATGTGCTTTGCAAGGGGAGGGCATGTGGTCTGGGATGGTTCAGGAAGGGTAGGCCCGCCTTTCCAGACCAGGCAGGATTCATGCCCAGATAAGGGTCTAGTATGGATTTTGAGGAGGAGGAGGAGCAGGCTTTTTTTCTTAATTTTTGCATGAGGTTTCCCCTTAAAACCCCCCTAAGACACACTCTTTATTTACATTCAGCCCAAATGTAGTAATACCACTGCTACATTTTTCACTTCCCTCTGCATCCAGAGGCTCAACTCAGCTTCACACCCATTTAGATCACCCAATGGCAGACCCTCTGAGCAAAATTTGGTCCACACATGGGTTTGAATTGAACCAGCGAATTTAACTTCACTCTAAAGTAGCACAATGTCAGAATAAAATCTTCCATGACCTTGTCCTAACTGTACATCTATCTGGAGTGAACAACTGTTTTAGCTCAATGAAAATTCCCAGTGTTAATTCTATTGCAGACCTGTGCAAAACTGTCTCAGTTGGCTAATTTTGTAGCTAATTTGCTTCTGTGATTTTTCAGCATTGTGATCCAGACTATTTTGACAGTCATGTATCATCTATAAGTATTTCTTCCAGTGGAGTGCTGCTACTCTTTTCTGAGTCACTGACCTGGAACAAGTATGCAGATCAAGAAAAGTCAGAGCAAAGAGAAGTTTTGATCTTTATGTTTGTTCTGGGTCAGTGACTCAAAGTATTAAAACAAAATGATTAGCATGACAGCCAGGCAACTAACATTTGCATAAAGAGAAGCAGCAGTTTAATTTTTTATCTATGTATAGCCTTATAACTGGGTATTTATTTCTGTATAATTTCATACACCGATTTAATTGGTAAAATCCCTGTCATGTTTTGTCATGTGTCCCCTTTGAGGCATTTCTCATCACTTCCTTTCCTGTAGACAGAACAGGAAGCAAGAGTTAATTTCTTCAAAATGAAGTAAACTCCCTCAAAAGCTAGCCATACACTGATCAAAATTTGGCCTGTCCCTGTGGAAGTAGTCCAATTTCAATCAGTCTGCAGCAGTACCTGTTCGAGAAAGTGTTGATCATTTTGTATCTGCTACATGTTCCCATTTACATAACATATTTAAAAAAAAATATTTAAAAATGATCAGCATTTTCGAAGTGTTTGCCATAATTAACCCTGTCTGTACTCTGAAGGCAGATCTTTGTTATCAATTGTAACTAGAATCAAACACTGTCTGTCCTAACAAAGGGTTAAAGGTTAGGAAACTAGACTTCTTGTTCATTGTATGTTAATGAGGACAGATTTAGGACAGACTTCTCTCATTGCTCAATAAACTTTGCAGTTAGCCATGACACCTTTTCCTGATAAGAAATATATATACAGTTGTGTTCAAAATAATAGCAGTGTGTTGAAAAAAGTAAATAAAGCTAAAAATCCTTCTAATAGCTTTTATTTCCATACACACAAATGCATTGGGAACACTACACATTCTATTCCAAATCAAAACATGAAGAAAAATATATCAAATTTGTGTTGTTCCTCTAAAAAAATTTAAGAAAAGTGAATATTAGACTGTTCAAAAAAAATAGCAGTGTTTGTATTCTTCTTTACAAACTCAAACATTCACTATATAAACTGAAAAATGTTTGAAGATTTTGCTTTCCTTTGAATCACTTAATGAATATTTAGTTGTATAAGCACTGTTTCTGAGAACTGCTGTACATCTGTGTTGCATGGAGTCAACCAACTTCTGGCACCTGTGAACAGGTATTCCAGCCCAGGATGATTGGACTACATTCCACAGTTCTTCTCTATTTCTTGGTTTTGCCTCAGAAATTGCATTTTTGATGTCACCCCACAAGTTTTCTATTGGATTAAGATCCGGGGATTGGGCTGGCCACTCCATAACGTCAATCTTGTTGGTCTGGAACCAAGATGTTGCACGTTTACTGGTGTGTTTGGGGTTGTTGTCTTGTTGGAACACCCATTTCAAGGGCATTTCCTCTTCAGCATAAGGCAGCATGACCTCTGCAAGTATTCTGATGTATTCAAACTGATCCATGATCCCTGGTATGCGATAAATAGGCCCAACACCGTAGTATGAGAAACATCTCCATATCATGATGCTTGCGCAACCATGCTTCACTGTCTTCACAGTGTACTGTGGCTTGAATTCAGTGTTTGGGGGTCGTCTGACAAACTGTCTCCGGCCACTAGACACAAAAAGAACAATCTTACTTTCATCAGTCCACAAAATGTTGCGCCATTTCTCTTTAGGCCAGTCAATGTGCTCTTTGGCAAATTGTAACCTCTTCAGCACATGTCGTTTTTTCAACAGTGGGACTTTGCGGGGGCTTCTTGCAGATAGCTTGGCTTCACATAGGCGTCTTCTAATTGTAACAGCACTCGCAGGTAACTTTAGACCTTCTTTGATCTTCCTGGAGCTGATTGTTGGCTGAGTCCTTCCCATTTTGGCTATTCTTCTATCCATGGTAGTTTTTGCTTTCTTCCATGTCTTTCAGATTTTGGTTGCCATTTTAAAGCATTTGCGATAATTTTAGCTGAGCAGCCTATCATTTTCTGCACTTCTTTATATGTTTTCCTCTCTCCAATCAATTTTTTAATCAAGGTACACTGTTCTTCTGAACAATGTCTGGAATGACATTTTCCTCAGAATTTCAGAGAGAAATGCATTGTAACCAGCATGTACAATATTTGCTGCCTTCCTTCCTTAAATAAGGGCAATAATTGCCACCTGTTTTTCAAAGAATTAATGACCTCACTAATAGAACTCCACACTGTTATTATTTTGAACATGCCCCTTTCAATTAGTGATTCAATTACACAGAATCAGCAGCATGCATGTCATGACTGTTGGGTCTGTTGGATTTCTATTAGTCCACTACACCTGCTAATAAATTATTTGCCATGTAGAAATATCATTTCTACCAAAAGCAGTGATTGATCAGGTTAGTGATGTCTGACTGCTATTCTTTTGAACACAACTGTATATATATATATATATATATATATATATATATATATATATATATATATATATATATGTATATACAGTATCTCACAGAAGTGAGTACACCCCTCACATTTTTGTAAATATTTTATTATATCTTTTCATGTGACAAACACTGAAGAAATGACACTTTGCTACAATGTAAAGTAGTGAGTGTACAGCTTGTATAACAGTGTAAATTTGCTGTCCCCTCAAAATAACTCAACACACAGCCATTAATGTGTGTGTCTGGCAACAAAAGTGAGTACACCCCTAAGTAAAAATGTCCAAATAGGGCCCAAAGTGTCAATATTTTGTATGGCCACCATTATTTTCCAGCACTGCCTTAACCCTCTTGGGCATGGAGTTCACCAAAGACTCACATGTCTCCACTGGAGTCCTCTTCCATTCCTCCATGATGACATCACAGAACTGGTGGATGTTAGAGACCTTGTGCTCCTCCATCTTCTGTTTGAGGATGCCCCACAGATGCTCAATAGGGTTTAGGTCTGGAGACATGCTTGGCCAGTCCATCACCTTTACCCTCTGCTTCTTTAGCAAGGCAGTGGTTGTCTTGAAGGTGTGTTTGGGGTCGTTATATGTTGGAATACTGCCCTGCGGCCCAGTCTCTGAAGGGATGGTATCATGCTCTGCTTCAGTATGTCAGAGTACATGTTGACATTCATGGTTCCCTCAATGAACTGTAGCTCCCCAGTGCCGGCAGCACTCATGCAGCCCCAGACCATGACACTCCCACCACTATGCTTGACTGTAGGCAAGACACACTTGTCTTTGTACTCCTCACCTGGTTGCTGCCACACACGCTTGACACCATCTGAACCAAATCAGTTGATCTTGGTCTCATCAGAACACAGGACATCGTTCCAGTAACCCATGTCCTTAGTCTGCTTGTATTCAGCAAATTGTTTGCAGGCTTTCTTGTGCATAGTCTTTAGAAGAGGCTTCCTTCTGGGATGACAGCCATGCAGATCAATTTGATGCATTGTGCGAAGTATGGTCTGAGCACTGACAGGCTGACGCCCCACCTTTTCAACCTCTGCAGCAATGCTGGCAGCACTCATACATCTATTTCCCAAAGACAACCTCTGGATATGACGCTGAGCACGTGCACTCAACTTCTTTGGTCAGCCATGGCAAGGCCTGTTCTAAGTGGAACATGTCCTGTTAAACTGCTATATGGTCTTGGCCACTGTGCTGTAGCTCAGTTTCAGGGTCTTGGCAATCTTCTTATAGCCTAGGCCATCTTTATGTAGAGCAACAATTCTTTTTTTCAGATCATCAGAGTTCTTTGCCATGAGGTGCCATGTTGAAGTTCCAGTGACCAGTATGAGAGAGTGAGAGTGGTAACACCAAATTTAAAATAGCTGCTCTCCTTTCACACTTGAGACCTTGTAACACTAATGAGTCACATGACACCAGGGAGGGAAAATGGCTAATTGGGCCCAATTTGGACATTTTCACTTAGGGGTGTACTCACTTTTGTTGCCAGCAGTTTAGACATTAATGGCTGTGTGTTGAGTTATTTTGAGGGGACAGCAAATTTACACTGTTATGCAAGCTGTACACTCACTACTTTACATTGTAGCAAAGTATAATTTCTTAAGTGTTGTCACATGAAAAGATAGAATAAAATATTTACAAAAATGTGAGGGGTGTACTCACTTCTGTGAGATACTATATATATATATACAGTATATACATACACACTATATTGCCAAAAGTATTGTATTGGGACACCCCTCCAAGTCATTGAATTCAGGTGTTCCAATCACCTTCGTGGCCACAGGTGTATAAAATCAAGCACTTAGGCATGTATACTGCTTCTACAAACATTTGTGAAAGAATGGGTCTGTCTCAGGAGCTCAGTGAATTCAAGTCTGATACTGTGATAGGTTGCCACCTGTGCAATAAGTCCATCCGTGAAAGTTCCTTGCTACTAAATATTCCACAGTCCACTGTTAGTGGTATTGTAACAAAGTGGAAGCAACTGGGAACAACAGCAACTCAGCCACGAAGTGGTAGGCCACGTAAAATAACAGAGCGCGGTCAGCACATGCTGAAGCGCACAGTGTGCATAAGTCACCAACTGTCTGCATAGTCAATAGCTAAACACCTCCAGACTTTGTGTGGCCTTCAGGTTAGCACAAAAACAGTGCGTAGAGAGCTTCATGGAATGGGTTTCCATGGCCAATCAGCTACATCCAAACCTTACCTCACCAAATGCAATGCAAAGCATCAGATGCAGTGGTGAAAAGCACACTGCCACTGCACTCTAGAGCAGTGGAGACGTGTTCTCTGGAGTGATGAATCACACTTCTCTGTCTGGCAATCCAATGGACGTGTTTGGGTTTGGTGGTTGCCAGGAGAAAAGTACTTGCCTGACTGCATTGTGCCAAGTGTAAACTTTGGTGAAGGAGGGATTATGGTATGGGGTTGTTTTTCAGGGGTTGGGGTTGGCCCCTTAGTTTCAGTGAAGGGAACATTTAAGGCATCAATATACCAAGACATATTGGGCAAATTCATTCTCCCAACTTTGTGGGAACAGTTGGGGATGGCCCCTTCGTGTACCAACATGACTGCGCATCAGTGCACAAAGCAAGGTCCATAAAGAGATGGATGAGCGAGTTTGGAGTGGAGGAACCTGACTGGCCTGCAACCATTGTCCTGACCCTAACCTGATAGAACACCTTTAGGATGAATTAGACTGCGAACCAAGCCTTCTCGTCAGACATCAGTGTCTGACTTTACAAATGCACTCCTGGAAGATCAGTCAAACATTCCCATAGACACACTCCTAAACCTTGTGGACAGCCTTCCCAGAAGAGTTGAAGCTGTTATAGCTGCAAAGGGTGGGCCAACTCAATACTGAACCCTACTAGCTAAGACTGGGATGCCATTGAAGTTCATGTGCATGTTAAGGTAGGCGTTCTAATACTTTTGGCAATATAGTGTGTGTGTATATATATATATATATATATATATATATATATATATATATATATATAATTTTTTTTTTTACTTTTAGACATGCTGTGTGAATGGGAGCACATAACAAACATAGTTTTTTCAAATTTGACCTGAAAAAGCGGAAATATGCTTTAAAGAGCAGTCACTACCTGAGTGTTATAGGGTTATCGAGCAATAAGCTGTACACTTTCCAGAGTATGCAAAATAAACTAAAGCATTCACTGAAAGCCAACATTAGGCAGAATGGAGCCTGTGATAAATGTTGTTGGTTTTTCAGTGGTGATGATTCTCTTATCTGTTTCTTACAGTGTGTAACACAAAAGTATAATCTATGATGTATTCACAACTGAAATGGTCAATGGTTTGGGGCAAGCCAAACAAGAGCAGACACATTTTAAACCCATCAGTTGTGCTCTTTGCACAATCTGTTGTTACAGTGAACAAATATGTGTTGATAGATTAGGCAGGAGTTAGCTGCTATTTAGTCAGATAAATGCAGTACCGGCTTATTTCCATGATTTGGCTTAAGAAAAAAAACATGATCAATTTAGATATTTTTCATTTAAGTTATCTGGGCTGTGAGAAACTGATAGCTATTTCATTGATGCTTGTTATTAGAGAAAAAATAGAATGTACAAAGAAAAAAAAAAGACTTGATTAAAGTAAAACAGCTGTAGCAAGTGCAGATGAGTGGTAGTTGGTAAGGAAGATGGACAAATCTCTTATAGCAAGGGATTTATTTAAGTTGGAATGCAGGGGAACACAGTTCCGGAACCTCCAGCACTGAATGCATGTCATGGCAAGGGGTGCTGGATGTGCTGGAGGGTCTATTGATGCTGGTTGCTGGTGCATCTATTGCCGGTGGGGGAATCTATTATTGCAGGGGGCGTCTAATTTTGCTAGAGAGGTATATTGTTGCCTGGGCCATCTATAATGTGGGGCAAATGGGGCAGCTGCCCCGAGCCCAGTCATTGTTTTGGGGCCCAAAGCAGCTGCCCTTTAGAGTCTGTGCCCTCTCCCTGCCCTATGTGAGTCTGAGGCAGCACTTTACATAGCAGGGAGGAAGCGGGGTCAAGAGCTCAACTAACGCTCTGACTTCACCTCATGCAGCCTGTATGGTTGGGAGGCTACGGCTGCACTAGGAGTTTGGATTGGAATGGGAGTGGCAGCACTAAGAGCCCTGCACCGCGGATCATCAGCTGGCGATAGGTAGGTCCTTGTCCCCAATGTCATTATGTCCCTAATGCAGGCCATTCCGATTTTCTTGCCGAATTATCGGCCGATAAAAAAATCGGCTGATATTCGTACTGTTAGTGGGGAAAAATGTTGGCCGTTTTTCTTAATTTTAAGAGATTTTGAAAATCGGCCATGCTGGAAAATCCTGGGATGATTTGTTAGATCTGCCGATTTTCGTGGTAATTTATGGTCAGATCGGCCGTTCTTCTGGCTGATTTGACAATAAATTGACTATGAAGAAAAAGAAGTAATAGAAGAAATAGATTTTGCAGGAGAAGAAGAAATAAAATATCAAGAAGAAGAATAGAAGAAAAGAGGAGAAGATGAAATAGATTTTGCAGAAGAAGACAGAGAAGAAAAAAAGTTGCAACATTGTATCTATTTGTATGCATTTCGGATACAGATGTTTCTATTCAAGTACAAATAGATACAATGTTGTTTCTTCTTCTTCTTCTTCTTCTTCTTCTTCTGCATAATCTATTTCTTCAGTCAAATATAATAGCGGGTCTCTATGCAGGGACACCACTATTATATTAATTGATGGCCATAGAAGGGACTAAAACCCGCCCGACCGTGAACGAACCGATTTACGATTTTTTTTTTTTAAAAAGGCCGATTTTCCCCACGTCTATGGCCTGCAATAGACTGCCTGCAGATTGATTCCTGGTCTGTGTTATTCATCAGTTAGAGCATGGGCCACCGTTCTTCCCACATAGCTGCTTGATGGTCTTTAGTTGGTCTTTAAATGTTGCAGATGAGTGATGACATGTGCAATAGCTCTGAATGTGGATAATCCAATTATGAGAAAAATATTTCACTACAGAGGAACACTGTTATTGTCATCTCTGAAATGCCCAGTCCATATTTTATCCTAAGGTTTAAAGTGGAAGTAAAGGGTGAAGGATTTCACCTTCATGCATTCTGTGCATGAAGGTAAAAAACTTTTAGCCTAGGTTCACACATATGGGGTGCAAGAAACTACATGTGATTCAGACAGGAATCACATGCAATTATTTGCAGTGCGAATTGATCATTATGTATGGAGTCAAATCGCACCATACCCGTACAAAAAAGGTACAGGCGGGGTTTTTTGCCACACTGGAGTCAGATTGCATGGATGTTTACACCCATTCAATCTGACTCGGGCAATCGCACACTGGTTTGCAACCTATTTTTGGGGTGTCATTAACTTAACATTGACACCTGCAGCAGATCGTATGAACACAGTGCGATTTGGATGTGGGGCGAGAAATGAACAGGATTCACTTCATTTCCCGCACCACACATATGTGAACCTAGGCTCAGTGTGCAGCTCCCCCCACACCTTACCTGAGCCTCCTCTGTGCACTGTGCATAGAAGCCTCAGCCTTTTTAACTTTCTCCCTCCTCATTGGCTCTGACACAGAAGCGGAAGGCTTTGGCTCAATCACAGGTAAACTGGAGAAAGGGGGGGGCGGAGGTGCAGCCTGGCCACACTCCCTGTGTCCCATTGAGACACAGATCCAGCTTAGGAGCAAGCATGCACGAGGGCCCCCAGAGCAAGCTGCTTGCTCTGGGGGTACTTGGTAGGAGAGAGGAGCCAAAAATGCCAGCGGGGGACCCAAGAAGAGGAGGATCGGGGCTGTCTGTGCAAAACCATTACAGAACAGGTAAGTATGACGTGTTTATTATTTTAAATTTTAAAAAATGAACCTTTAGAACCACTTTAGTTAAGCCTAACTTTTTTTGCATCCATAAGGAAGTCAAGTCATTCTATTGGTCTCATTGACATGAAATCTATTACAAAAAGCTCTGTACACACGATCAGAAAATTGTATGAAAAATGCCACTTTCAAAGCTATCGTAGATAATCTGATCCTTAGTACACAACAATAGTCCGAAATTACTTGAAGGGACAAGCATGAAAATGTTTGCTCGTACGATTTTCGTTTAACCAGTACAGTTTTCATCCAAAAATACAATTCAAATACATTACAATACATTATATCACTTCCGAATTTTTGTTCTGTCATACAACAATTTTCATAATTTTAGTAACCTCTTCACTTTCGATATGAGACTAGCATGTAAAAAACAATTGACAATCATTCGTCTGATATTCTCAATGTGTATACGTGGCTTTAGTCTTTAGTTGTGTTATCAACACATAAAGGATAAGTTCACCTTTTGAAAAAAATAACAAATGCATACCCTTTTGCAGATAAAAAAATTATTATTATTATACAGGATTTATATAGCGCCAACATTTTATGCAGCACTTTACAATATAAAGGGGGACAGTACAATTACAATACAGTAGGAAAAGGAGGGCATTTGTTACTTTTTTTATTATCAGCTTGTATAGTATTGCACCCCTGATCAGCACGAGTAAATTAAAATTTACATTTACAGCATTGAGTAAATTAAAAACATTGCCCTGTTGTTTGTTGGGTATCTACTAGCAAGCTTAGGATGAAAGATTCCCAAACATTAAAGAATTTCAGATACATAATTCTTTATGCAAAGAGGCCTCCACCCATTCCATATGAAAATATATGAGAAAAATGTAGACAAAAAAACAGTGCAGGTTCCAGGATAATTCCACTTATGTAAAATTGCTTTTCCCACCATGAGGGATATGATAAGGAGTTGTTTGCAGCCCTTTGAAATTGTAATACCTGGGATGTTCAATAGACCAAATAGGACCAATTCAGGAGTTAAGAGTAGGTAGTTTACTAAGTATATGGACGCATAATGCAACACTGAGTTCCAAAAATGTTTAAACTTGGGGCACACCCAGAATGCATGGAACAGGTCTGCATCTACATGTTCACATTTCAGGCAGCAATAAGAGGAGCTTAGGCCAATAGGATAGTTCCTGTGAGATATTGTTAGGTTTAGCTGAAGGCAAGGCTGTAACTATGATGGTGTCCCATAGCAAAACCATTTTTTTCCAATCTTCAAGAGAATTCCCCATACTGTATATACAGTACATTTATTTCATTCAAACGTGTTTCTCAAATGCTATTGCAAAAATACTGTGCTGCCAGATAACTCTTGGACCAATGTGCCTTAGTGTTGTAACTAATGATTT